AAGAAATCCACAAAAGCCATCACCCAAATTAAAAGTTTAAAATCAATTTGATTTATTATGAAAATTTCTTGATTTTTTTTAAATTTTGTTTAAAGTTTAAAACTTCGGTTTGTATGGTTTTAGTTATAGCATAAAAAATAGATTTATAAAAGATAATAAAAGTTTAACTTGAAAAGCATTTTGCATATAAAACAAATCAAAATGTGAACATTTATTTAAGTCACTGTATGCGTGATGAGTGTCTAATCTACATGTGATACTTCCACCTCCGAAAATATTTTGTTGAAATGATTTTTCCAATATGGGCTAAATCTAAAAGCTACCTTTTACAATTCGAAACATTTTTTGAATAATTTTTTAAACCACTCAAACTATGAAATCTGCCATATTTCCATTTTGGGTTTTTGTACTATCGTTTTTATGCTCCTCGTGTAAAGTAATGCATAATGAAATTATCCAAGTTTGATTGGACATTCCTCATAAATATTTAGAAAAAAAATTATTAAGTCAAAACGTTGAAAATTTTGAAGGAAACATATTTGAATAGGCATGGCAGCTTTCTTTAGTTGCAACTGAAACCAGAGGAAATTAAAAGTTCAGCAGATTAGTTAGCAAAATTAAAACTTTTCATCAAATTCACGTTTGCGGACACGGCTTTTTTCCTTCAAGCCACTGCCAAAGATGATTTACATATTAGTCATATTGCTGGGCGTATTTTGTGACAAATGTCACAAAGTGCTCACAAGTGCAACCGGAAGAAGTCAATTTATGCAAAAGTATGCAGAAAAAAAGTTAAAAAAAAAACAAGTCTAAAAACAATTGAAATCGCAGACCTCTTGGCTTTTGTGCCCAAAAATAGCTAAGGAACAAATACGCAAATGTATGCACATAAATATGTGAAGCTATATGTATGTGTTGTGTGATTTTATGTGAATGTGGAAGTTTTAGCGAAATTTGCGGCGAAAGCGGATTAAGTAGATTCGTGGCTCCCTGTGTACCCTATAGGAAAATCGAACGTTGAGATAAGCTTACTTACCATAAAAACTTTATTTCCTTACTTACCATCTAAAAAAAAAACAAAAAAACAAAAAAAAACATTTAAGCGTATGCTTCGCAATAGGCAAACGTGCAGAAAGAATAGGACCTCCCTATAATAGAATTTACTGCAAGCTGTCAGCTAAAATACAGCGAGGAAAGTGTCCAGTATTTACTGTGTGCCTAGCCTTGTGATTGCTAGGTGAAAACCCTAGGCATAATATTACCACTCTTGGAACTTTGTAGTGTCGCAGATAGAGTTCTATGCCATGCGAGATCAAGAAGATTTATTATTCATTACTTCAATTCACTTAAAAAACGTATTCACCCGGGTTAGTGCTTCAAAAAGGACACTAATTTCAGTCTAGGCAGAAAGCACTACCGTCAACCACGGAAATGGTATGCTAGGTGTCGGGTGTGAGTTTGTTTCCCTCATTCTTCAAACTTCAAGTATCTCGGCACTAGGCATAAGACAGTCTTTATTCTGGCCCAAGTGCGTCAAACTGGTTATTGACGCGACCTAGCCCATCAAGATCATAGAAACACTGTTTGAATTCCATCTCTTGCAAAGCCGCTTGCCTAAATGGCAAATGAATATGAATGAACTCAGCCGATAGCCGACAGACCAAAGCTTTCATTCCAGGAATTCAGCTGGTATAAGTAAAAAACATTCCTTAAGCTGCGTTTACATGAGGCGATTTTCCAGGCGAATCAACATTGTTCTGGAAAAATCGCTCGTGTAAATAGTGATTCAAAAATCGCTTGCTTCAAAGTAGACAGCAAGTCAACATTTGCATGCGATTATCGCCTGTCAAAAAATCGCCTCATTTAAAGGCAGCTTTAAGCTCAGCATGCGCGACATTAGCACTAAGTAATTTTCTGAAAGTTGGTTATACATATGTATATACATACTTTAGATGTTGTATACGTTTTCTTTTTTTTTCTCTTTTTTTTAACCTCTGTTAAATTTATTCTTGCTAACATTTTTTTTTTTCACTATCATTTCAGCATCTTTTCAAAATCAGTGCACATATAAATAATTCAACTAAGGTTCGCAGATATCACAACTCTCTACATTCTGCATAGTTATCAAGTCAATTCAACTTTTATTATTCAGTCAGGTAAGTTTTTAAACAAAACTGTTTTCTGATGCTTTTCACCTGAATTTTCTTACAAAATTTGCATTTACTTAAACCACATTAGCAGTGTTCCATCGTTCACGTGGCATGAAATGTTGAAAGCACAGTGACAGTTATTCTAATGAACATTGAAAAAGTATACATATATTAATGTGGAAGGCTAGGGTTCATGTAGAAGAAAGCTTTGAAGAATCGCAGCTGAACGAAACTCGGAAACGTTTTTTTAGAAAGTCCTCATACTTACCCATTTGAATACTATTTTTTTAGTAAAGCCAAACGTAGAAATCCGTCAAGTCTCAGTGGCCATAGGCTATAACACACAACTATCAACATATTTGTCGCATGCGATAAAAAAAATGTCACACACAAAATCTCATCACAATTATACTTTTCATAGGCACATTTGGGGGGGCACCCAAATAAGCAACCGTAATTATTTGCATGTTGCATTTTATATGTATCATAATTCGCTATTGCTCGGACATTAGCTGCTCAGCTAGATAGATACATATTGTGTTCTCGATCATCGATACGTAATTTATTTCCGCTTGAAATGCGGCAAACCTGAGTGCATACATTCATACATAGTACAAATTTTGGCATTAGTATGCTCGCAGGCACGTCGTTAAGTAATAATAAACTCGTAGATTGTCAATTAATCGCTGAAACAATTCAAATATCGTTCAAGCGCTCGAGTGCATACAATTACGTATACGCATCGTTGTACGGCAGCGGCACAAATGTGAATGAATTCTAAATAGAATTATTAGCCCCTTTCGCCTGCCTTTAATGTGTGTATTCTATGCACATACTACTGCTCATCGTTTAATGCCCCGCCCACACATTCGATTGTGTCACAATGGCAATAAATATTATTTAAAAAATATATATATATCTATGTAATGCTTAGCAATTGTAAACAAATTTATTTGCTTATGGAAACATTGTTCATCACATGTTGTTAATTGTAGGCTTCTGTC